GTCGATTTTTTAAAATTTGCTCCAGGGGTTCTCACCCGATCGAGTTTGGGGTTACTCGATCGGGTAATTTAATTCGAATTAAATTCCCAAATTCTTGGAATTAGACCCGATCGGGTCTTACGGATACCCGATCGGGTACCCTCTTAGAATTTTTTCTTCCCTCGATCGGGTTTCCTCAAGACCCGATTATTTCATACGTACCCGATCGGGTCTGGGAATTGTGCCCGATCGGGTACCCTACCCTGGGACGTGTTTTTGTCCAGTTTTAACCTCTTTTTAGCGCGGATCCGATCGGTTAAGTCATGAAGACCGATCGGAGGTTTCCCCAGGCTTCCAAAACATGGTTTTCCTTCATTTTTTCCTTGAGAATTTTACCCCATTTTCTCAAAATTGACATTAAAAAGCAAGAATTTGAAAAGAAAAGAAGAAAAAATGCGTACCTTGACTTGGGTTGCCTCCCAAGAAGCGCTTGATTTAACGTCCCGGCACGACGTTATTTTTATTTTATTTTCTATTTTAAGTGGGATCGTGAACAATCTTGTTTGGCCTTGTACTCATTTTGTTTTTCGACCTTTTCCAGTAAGGTCGAATTTTTGTTTTCATTGCCTCCTCAACCGCAGATGATCCCCTATTCTCAATTTTTTGAAAAATTGGGATTTTAGTAGATTCCTTCAAAGACTTTGGTTCTTGTGGTCCAAAAACAGTTAAAGAACAAAGAGATTGCGTTTTAATTTGTTTTTTCGTAGAGTCAAAGATGTTGAACTCTACTTTTTGGTCATCGAACTCTAAAGTTAATGAACCACTAGACACGTCAATTTTTGTTTTTGCGGTTTTTAAGAAGGGTCTACCCAAAAGGATGGGTGTTGTTTGGTCATCATTTCCCATTTCAAGGACATAGAAGTCAACAGGAAAAACCATATTTTCTACTTCTACTAGCACATCTTCTATTACACCCTTCGGGTAAGTATTAGAATGATCCGCTAGTTGAATCACTACACCTGTTTGATGTAGTGGGCCGAGTTGTAGGGATTTATAAACAGAGTAAGGAATGACATTTATAGATGCCCCTAAATCCAACAAGGCCTTAGAAAATGCGGTGTCCCCTATCTTGCAAGGTATGGTGAACATGCCCGGGTCGCTACATTTTTCGGGAAGTTTCTTTTGAAATAGAGCCGATACATGTTCACTAACCTTGACCTCTTGCTTTTCTTTTGACTTATCCTTTCGTTTTGTTTTGCATAATTCTTTTAAAAATTTAGCAAAACGGGGAACATTTTTAATTGAGTTAAGGAGCGGAATGTTTACCTCACACTTGGCGAATGTCTCATAGATGTCGGTATCTTTCTCCAGCTTCCTTGTCTCCATCAGTGCCTCGGGAAATGGAGCTACTGGTTCATACGATGCATATGGTGGAAGTTTCGCCTTTGTGGTTCCCTCCTCAGATTGAGCTTCTTCTTCATGATCAACCTCCTTGATCTCTTGGTCATTTTTTTCTACCCCCTTCAACATGATTGCATTCACATGTTGTCTCGGGTTTTGCTCCGTTTGAGATGGGAGTTTACCCGAGTCCTTTGCTTCAAGACGGCTTACGGCATTTGAAATTTGGCTAACTTGGGTTTCCAAATTTTTAATGCTTGACTTCGTTTCATGTTGGAATTGTATCATGGTTTGTTGAAATTGACCCATGCTTTGTTGCATGGTAACCATGTTTGAAGTCAACGCTCGTATCATTTCATCCGTTGACATATTAGATTGAGAGTTTGAACCTTGATTGTCAAAAGATGGTTGAGAAGATGGTTTGGATTGTTGGGAGTTTCCATACCTCAAGTTTGGATGATCTCTTAATCCAGGGTTGTAAGAGTTTGAGAATGGATCGTACCTCCTTTGTTGGTGGCCTTGGAGGCCCAAGGCATTGACTTGCTCTGTATTGTTTTCTTGAAGAGTCGGGCATGAGTCAGTGGGATGCCCTTGTTGCGTACAAATGCCGCAGACCTTGACTTCTTGGGTCTTGGATTTTAAGAAGAAATCCTTAACCAAGGAAGTCAAGCTGGCAACTTGACTCTCCAGTGATGATGTCGATTCTGCCGCGGCAACTCTACGAGTTGAGGATCTGCGACCGAATTGCCGTGAGTTCTCGGCCAATTCCGAGATAAGATTTATAGCTTGTGAAGGAGTTTTATTAACAATGCCGCCTCCACAAGCGGCGTTCACCATTCTTCTATCATCATCAACAAGACCATCATAAAAGTATAAGATGAGGTCTTGTTCTGAGTAGCCATGATAGGGACAGCTAGCACATAGCTTCTTAAATCTTTCCCAAAATTCATATAAGGATTCATCATCCTTTTGCTCGATGTTGCTTATTTGCTTTTTGAGAGAAGATGAGATGGAAGCAGGATAATACCTATCGAGGAAGCACTTCTTCATTTGTGCCCATGTGTTGATGCTTCCCGAAGGAAGATAGAAAAGCCAATCCTTCGCGGTATCTTTCAAGGAGAATGGGAAGGCTCTCAGTTTTATTTGCTCTTCTGTGGCACCGTTTGGGCACATGCTTGTGCAAACGATGTGGAATTCCGAAAGATGTTTATTCGGATCTTCTCCTCTCATGCCATGGAAAGATGGCAATAAATGTATGAGCCCAGATTTCAGCTCAAATGTATTACCCTCATCAAGAGTGGGGAAGGTAATACACAATGGTTGTTGATTCAAGTTTGGAGCTGTGAGCTCCCTCAATGTTCTTGTCTCTTGAGCCATAGTGATTGGCTCTTCGTTCTCGCTAGAATAAGAACTAGCGCTTGATGATTCCTCCGAAGAAGTATTTGGAAATAAATTCCTAAACCTCTCGAAGGCTTGTTCCGTTTCGGGATTTGTTTGGTAGGTGATTTGTTTTATAGATCGGTGTTTAACCATATACTCAAACAAAGCTCAGAAATAGAAAATAAGAATTCTTTATATTTTTATTTAATTATTATTTTTTTTTATTTTTATTTTTCTCGAAATAAAATAAAAAGAAAATAATTGCCTTTCCCCGGCAACGGCGCCAAATTTGACGTGCACTTTGTCGTGTGTGCACTCAAAATAATAATTCAATACAACACAAATACGTAGTATAGTGAAGTAAGGTTCGTATCCACAGGGAAAGGAATACTTTTCTTCTTACGGAGATAGATAAGTAACAATAAGGGGGGGGTTTATATTTGGTTGATGAACTTTAAATTATATTTGAATACGAAGATGAACGAGTTATGTGGTTTAATTAATGAGAAGAAGACTTGGCTTTGCTTTTATCCACTTAATGAAATGTTCGTCGATCCCGGTTATATCTTTAACTATCTTCCTCTCGAATACTCAATCGAGGAGTATATCCAATTCATCGAGGGTAGTTATTAATAACGAGACGCGTTCATTAATAAAACTTACTACCGAGTTAATATAGAACACGCGCCGTATATTCACTCGATAGTAGCAATAAAATCAAGATGAAAACGATTGAGATTGATAACCTCAACACAAGCGGTTTATTGGTTTAATCAATATAATTAATTCCCCTTGGTTTATTAACCATGAAACACATGCATTAATACACCAAGTTTACTACCGTGAAAGGACCGAATTAATAACAAGCGTATTAATCGACCGATTCTAGTAATAATTAATATATGAAACAAAACTAGTTGATCCTTTAAGTAATGTTCAAAATATTAATATGAAATATGAATAGGAATTAATTAATACTCAAGGAAGAATAATAAAGAAGATGAATCCTACTATAGTTAATATCAAGATGTTAACTAATTGTCATCTTAGTAACACTTCCCGATATTAACGTAGAGGAAGAAATAACTATTACTATAACTAATGTCAAGATGTTAACTAATTGTCATCTTAGTAACACTCCCCAACATTGATATAGAAATAGTATTTAAAGAAAGAATTAATATTCAAGGAAGAAGATTAAAGATAATAACTCACAACTTACAAATTCATTAAGCTTCAAAGTAGCAAAACCAAGATGGGAGAGTTTAGCTCCTCATTTGGAGACTAAACATGATGAAAAATATAAAGAAAGAACTTGTCTAAACTGAGCTAAGAAGTATATGTGAATTGGTGATCTTCTTGTGGAGGAAATGAGGTGTATTTATAGGCTTTTTAGGCTTGCAGGGTCGTGTACCCGATCGGGTTTTCAGCCCACTCGATCGGGTACCATATGTGGCTTCGGCGAAGCTGAAAAATGGGGTCATACCCGATCGGGTCTGTCGGTCACCCGATCGGGTATGGACACCCGAACGTGTTAAAATCTTCCCGCATGATGCCTTGTTCCCAGATTTGATTTGATTCGAAATTTCAGAAGGGTACCCGACCGGGTATAGGTCATACCCGATCGGGTACAGACCAAAAACGAGATCTTCAATCTTTTTCTTGCATTCTTGCACCTTCCTTCCACTGGTGATGTTCTCCAAAGTGTATTTGGACCTGTTTGAGCTCAGAATAAACTTAATCTAAACATATTACAAATATTTTACAAACTAAACTATTTACACCAAAAGTGTGTAATTTCCAGAGTAACAATCACTCGAAACTAATTAAAAGTACAAATTTAAATATGGCAATTACACGAATGTCAATAAGTTTTGGATACAATTTAGTCACGGATAGTTACTACGTATTAAGTAATGTATAAAATAAAACAAAATATATGAAATCAAACTAATTTAATTTATGTGAAGTTAATCGAATTTCATTAAGACACTCGCAACAAACTAATTAGTTACAGTAAAAAAATCTAACCTAATTAGTTAGATATCATGTTTTAGGAGAACCGTATAGTAGCATTCATTTAAAGATAGGATGATACGATTGATGACGAAATTGATCTGATGAAGAAATGGCCAGGTGGTAGCACGTGGACATGACACGTTTTACGTATTCAGATACGTGGTAACTCGAAAACAGGCGCACCTTTCTATAAAATAATATGCATCCACGCAACCATATCTTATCTCTCAAATACTATCGTATATAAGTTTGATTAATTTCATACAACTCCGATCCATTATATTGCCGTAGACATACATAAATTTCAGGAACTCAAAAACTAAACCTATCTCGTTAGCTAGCAGTTTCTAGGTCGTGAGCTCATAAATAATTTGCAGGTCAACTGAAATGGCTTCCCAAGAACATACCTACAGAGCTGGTGAGACCAAGGGCCGTACCGAGGTACTATATCTTTCTTATTGGATATTTGGATTGATCATATATATAAGTATGACTACAATAAAGAGATTCAATATATGGTACTTGGCTTATGACTATGTTTATGTTTATTTTACAACGTGAGTATAAGTTGTATCCACAACAAAAATGAAATTTTGTTATTGGTACTAAAACTTTGTGAAAGAATGGTAATAACCTCAATATTACTTGATATAATATATAGTATGAGACTCACAAATTTAGTGAAATGGATGAAAAGGTAAAACGTGACAAAGATCTGTGATGAAAGAAAGTGGTAATCACCTAAATACTGTGTATCAAATATGGTATGCATCAAATGTGATGAGATAAATTTAGTAAAATGGATGAAAATGTAAAATGGAGGGAAGGTTGGGGATGAAATTGAAGGAGTAATAAGTTATGAAACATTTTTGAACTATTTTGTTTTGTAAGTTTTACAATGCCTATAACATATTTGATTGGTTTTTTTGGAAATATTTGATTGGTTCAAATTATTTTGTCATTTCTCCACTCAAATTGTTCAATGTAATATTCTAATTGGTATTGGATGAGTGACGCAGGAGAAGGCGGGACAAGCAGCGGAAGGAGCGAAGCAGAAGGCTTCGGGCGTGGCGCAATCCACCAAGGAGACGGCGGGGACAACCCGAGACAAGAGTTCGGGGATAGCCGAGAGCGCGAAAGAGAAGGCGGAGAGGGCGGCACAGGCAACTAGGGAGAAGGCGGGGGAGATGACGGAGTCGGCAAAAGAGACGGCGGAGGCCGGGAAGGAGAAGACGGGTGGGGTGATGCAGAAGACAGGGGAGCAAGTTAAGAATGTGGCGCAAGGGGCAACTGATGCGGTCAAACATGCCTTCGGAATGGCCGGGGAGGAAGAAGACAGGCAATCCGGTCATCCCAGTCGCTAGGCTCGGACCTTCTTTAACGTGTTAAGTTAATATAATTAATAAAGGTCATCATCATCAACAATCTTCCTATCTCTAGATAGCCAGTGTATTGTTTTCATTTGCTGGAATATAATCCTTTTCCCTTTTACTCCTACCTTGCTAATAATCACTGTATTTGTAGTAACAATAATAAGGGAAGAACAATAATGATATGCACCTAGTTTCATTCATTTTGGATCTTTTTATAAGAGATGTGTGTCAATTTTTGTACTCCATTAATTAGTTTTTTCCTGCTAGCCACTAGTACACAAAAAGGTCTCGTTTTTCACATTTGCAAATGTGAACAAAGCCAAAAAAAAATGCCTGACCATTCGGATAGCTCATAGAAAAATGAAAAATGCCCCACCCATTCGGATAGCTGATTTCCAAATGCTAACAAAAATTGAAAGATTCATCTCCAATAGGGAAAAAATCAAAAACATGTTGATGTCATTCGGAATAACCATTTCCAAATAATAATAATAATAATAGGAATAACCATTTCCAAATAATAATAATAATAATAATAATAATAAGCATACGCGTTCAAACGAAAATACTTGTATCAACCGAGTTTTAAAGATCAATGGAGGAAGAGAGAATATGAAAGATTGTGTGATATATTTTCGAATAGATTGAAAATGCAGGCAAGCATGGGCATATATAGAGTTCTGGCAAGGAGACTCTACACCCAAAAGACACCTTTAGAAAGAAAGGTTGTGATCCTCCTAAAAACAAAGGATGTGTCTATTGCCAAACATTATCCAAAATTGAGAGCGACTAATAGAATTATCTTTAAGCAATATACTCGAGCAGACGGTTTAAGACTCTAACCCGAAATTGACCCAGCTGACTGAACGGCGGCAACGATGTTTGCGTGCGAGATATAATTTCACACTTATCTTTCGGGAAACAATTTCACATCCATTTCAAAGTGGTTTTTACAAATAATATTAATGATCATAATATTATTTTGTAAAACCATTTTTCCAACAAGAAATTGGCTTAAAGACAGGAAACAAATTGGAATTTGACACGGGAAGATGGGAACTCTGCATAGGGTTAGGTAGTCGTGAAACTTTGAACCTACCTTAGTGTATATCCATCAGATTTACTGGACAATCGGTAGCACTTTGCTTTGAACCGTAAGCCATTGTGTAAACCTAGACAATGAATAACACACAGAGCCTCGAATGCATCTTTGATTCACACGTTTGTGTTCGTTTCGGCCTTGAACACCTCCTGGTTCAGTTAGTGTTTTCGAGAGTATATTCATATCGTGCACCCGAGAATTCTTCCACCAGCATATGTGATCTCTATGGAAGGTATCATGTCATACCTTACTTGAACGTATCAAGATATAGAGATCATTAAAAGCGTAATTTACCCTAAGTGTTCATGGCATGAGTGTACTATATCTTGGCTAGTACCGCCCGAGCCAGTCCATAGTTGTGTTTTTCCTTTGAACCTAATTATGAGGCACTCTCAATAATAGGTAGGGTTTCCCCATGGACTTTTATTGGATCATTAGCCGTAGGCCCATCGCTCTCCCTGACGTCTCGACCAACTCTCTCAGAAGAGGTTTGGTTAGCGGATCCGCAATATTTTCTTTCGACTTAACATAGTCAAGAGAGATGATCCCATTTTTAATTAGTTTTCTAACGGATGTGTCTAGACTTACCGTTATAAACTGCATTCCTTGCCCTTCCAATTGCAGCTTGACTATCACAATGAATGGATATCGGAGGGACATGCTTTTCCCAACAAGGAAGATCTTCCAAAAACTCTCTCAACCATTCAGCTTCTTATCCAGCCTTATCTAAGACAATGAATTCAGCTTCCATGGTAGATCTTGCAATACATGTTTGTTTATAAGATTTCCACGACACAGCACCACTTCCAAGGGTGGACACATATCCACTCGTTGATTTTGTGTCCTTGGAATCGGAAATCCAATTTGCATCGGTATATCCCTCTAGCACAGCTGGATATTTTTGAAAATGTAAGCCATAGTCTCTGGTGTACATCAAATATCTAAGCAGCCTTATAAGCACTTTCCAGTGTTCTCTACCGGGATTTATTAAAAACCGGCTTAGCTTATTCACAGCTTGAGCTATATGGGGTCGTGTTCTATTCATGACATATGTTAAACATCCTATGACCCGAGGATAGTCATCTGGTGATACACTTTCTCTTCTATTTTTACTAAGGTGAACACTGGAATTAAAAAGAGTTCTCATGGGTTCGATATTATACTTCTTGAATCTCTCAAGCATTTTCTCAATGTAGTGTGATTGAGACAATATCAACCCTTCCGTTGTTCTAGTGATTTTAATTCCTAGAATTACATCCACAACACCGAGATCCTTCATATCAAATTTTCTGGCCAACATACTTTTGGTAGCTTTTATCAAATTGTTATTACTACCAAAAATAAGCATATCATCTACGTATAGACAAACTATGACGTAGTCTGTTTGATTTCCTTTCACATACACACATTTTTCGGCCTCGTTGATTTTAAATCCATTTGATAACATTACACTATGAAATTTATCATGTCATTGCTTGGGGCTTGTTTTAACCCATACAAAGATTTTACTAGGCGACAAATCTTTCTTTCTTGTCCAGGGAAAATGAAACCTTCAGGTTGTTGCATGTAAATCTCTTCCTCTAAGTCATCGTTCAAGAATGCAATTTTTACATCCATTTGATGGATTTCCGAACCCTTCAATGCAGTTATTGCCAATAGCATTCGAATTGAAGTTATTCTTGTAACTGGTGAGTAGACATCGAAGTAGTCAAATTCTCCCTTTTGGTTGTATTCTTTGGCAATTAATCGAGCTTTGTACTTCTCAATTGTTCTATCAGTTCTTCTTTTTCTTTTTGAAGATCCATTTACATCCTAGAGGTTTCAATCCAGGAGACAAATCTACAACTTTCCAAATGTGATTAGACATGATGGAATCAATTTCACTTTTGATAGCCTCTTGCCATTGTGCAGCGTCTGGTGAGAACATGGCTTCCTTATAAGTTTGAGGCTCATCGTCTAGAAGGTACACAACAAAATCGGGTCCAAAATCTTTCGATTTTCGAGCCCTTATCTGCGTCCCGCTTCACATTCTTGTGCTATTTCATTGTTATCTTTTATAGAATCAAAAGGCCTCTTATGTGAGTTTGTTTCTTCAACATGGGTTGGAATGAAAACATCCATGTCGGAGGAGACAACTTCACAATCTCCCTTAAAAGGGAATACATTCTCAAAGAATGTAGCGTCTCTAGATTCTATAAAAGTATTAGCCACTATATCCATGTTATGGGATTTGTGGATATGGAAAAGATATGCACTACTATTTTGTGCATATCCAACAAAAGACATGCACTACTATTTTGGTCCAAGTTTTGTCCTCTTAGGTTTGGGAATAGCTACTTTAGCTAGACATCCCCATACCTTTAAGTAATTAAAACTTGACTTACGCCCTTTCCATAACTCATATGGAATTTTGAGAGTTTTCTTGTGGAACATTCTATTTAGAATGTAGTTGGCAGCTAAAATAACATCCCCCCACAAGTCGTTTGGTGCACGAGAACTTACTAACATGGCACTAACCATGTCCTTTAAAGTCCTATTCTTCCTTTCGGCTACTCCATTTGATTGAGGCGTATAAGGAGCGGTTACTTGATGAATAATTCCACTTTCCAAACAAATTTATTCAAAGGGATATTCATACTCACCGCCTCTATCACTCCTTAGTGCCTTAATCTTCTTACCAAGTTGATTTTCAACTTTCGCTTAATAATGCTTAAAGGCATTAATTGCTTCATCTTTGCTTCTTAACAAATACAGATAACAATATCTAGTGCTATCATCGATGAAGGTGATGAAATACCTTTTCCCACCTCTAGTTTCTTCATACTTAAGATCACATAGATCCGTGTGTATGAGGTCTAGCGGTTCTTTGTCTCTTGTGACAGTTTGAAAAGGTTTTCTAATCATTTTGGCTTCCACACAAACTTCACACTTATGATTACGATCAATATGACACTTAGGCAATAAATCTAAATGCAAAAGTCGACACAAAGTATCATAAGTAACATGTCCTAATCTAGCATGCCAAAGAGAAGAAGACTCAACCAAGTAAGAAGAACCCACTTTATTATTATTCACAACTTTGGGTACAACGGTAAGTACATTCATTTTGAAGAGACCATCTTTGAGATAGCCCTTCCCTACAAACACATCATTCTTTGTAAGTATAAATTTATCAGCCACAAAGACAAGTTTGAAGCCATTTTTGCTAAGGAGGGAGCCCGAAACCAGATTCTTGTGTATGTCATTGACATGTAGCACATCGTTCAAAGTTAGAGTTTTCCCACTCGTCATTTTGAGGACAACTTTGCTGCAACCTTCCGCTTTAGATGTAGAAGAGTTACCCATAAAGAGTTATTCCTCATTATCAATTGATTGATAATCGGTGAACATCCACTTGTTAGCACAAATATGTCGGGTAGCTCTAATGTCAATGCACCATTCTTAAGTGTTACCCACTAAATTGCATTGAGATATCACAGCACATAGGTTCATTCATTTCACCTATTCCATCAGAGAGGTCGTCCACAATATTGACTTGTCGGTCTTCTTTTTTCTTAGGAGCACGACAGTCCTTAGCACGGTGACCGGACTTGCCACAATTATAGCACTTTCCTTTGAACTTCTTTGACGATGGTTTCCCTCCACTTGTTCCTTCGTCACTGTGCTTTCTCTTCTTCCCTTTCTTGGATCCCGCTTCCACCATGTTCGCTTTAGCTTCCATGGAATTTGATCGTCCGGCCTTATGCTCGGATTTGCGGTTATCCTCTTCTATCCTTAAACGGACAATGAGCTCCTCTAGGGACATTTCCTTGCGCTTATGCTTCAAGTAATTCATGAAATCTTTCCAATTGGGAGGTAATTTTTCAATTACAACCGCCTCTTGGAAGGACTCACTAAGGGACATACTCTCAGCGTGAATTTCATGAAGAATAAGTTGGAATTCTTTAACTTGAGAAACAACCGATTTGTGATCAACCATTTTAAAGTCCAAGAAATGCCCAACAATAAATTTCTTTTTGCCGGCATCCTCGGTCTTGTGTTTTTTCTCAAGTGATTCCCACAATTCTTTTACCGTCTTTATATCGGCTC